ATTCTTGCTCTGCTACGTTTTCAGCCTCGGTGCCAAATGTTACCAGGATAACGGACACGAAAAAAGTGCCCCAACAATTCTGCTGCTGAACCGAACATGTGCAGCTGAGCCCGATTTCAAGACTCCAAAGGAGACACAAAATCGCAAAAAAAATCAACCGCAGATTTGTCTTTTTTTTTTTTTTTGTCTTCCAACAAGCGCGTCAAGAAGCAGGACGGCGACCCTTCCGAACCGCTTTCTTCAGGTTCAGAAAACCTGGAGATCGAGCAGCAGCGGAAGGATCATCCCCAGCCGTACAGTCTTCCTGATGGCCTTCCCAGCGCTTCTAGCGACGTCCGTCATCCTCCGTCGGAACAAGGAACAGTAAAAGCGACGAGCTTTCTTCTTCGTGCGTGAAACGAGACGAACTTGCACCGCATCGGAGGGAAACGACGATCTTTCAGGTCAGTTGGACATTTCCAAGTATAAGACAGAGTCGCCGCGGCAGCCGATAGTGAACTCTTTCCCACCGAAAAAGTAAGGAAAAAAGACTGTACGCTTTCAGTCGGACTGGTATAGGTTATTTCCTTGGCTAGAATACAGCACCCAAGTTGATTCCGTCTTTTTGATATCCCTGTAGAATGTTCTCTACCAAAGCGAATGAGAAATCCACGTTTGGCAGCTGTGGCTGCAGTTGCTGGAAAAAAGCTCTGGACAAAGAATCTGGCTTTAGAAAGCACGAAACCTCAGTCACGCATAAGTCACGTCAAGATTCGTGGGTTTCCTACATAGAAATGAAGTCGAGAGGACCAGGCGAGTGAATCGAACAAGTTTGAGTTTTGAAAACGCAGTGCGATCCTCCTCGTGGTTTTTCCGCTGACGAACTTGCGCACGTCCGAGATAACATTCTTTTTTTTAAAGGACACATTCGTTTAGAGTTTGCAATATTCCTTAAATAATCTGGATATTCACTGCGACAAACAAAACGCCATAAAAATAATGAGGTTCCTATTATACTCAATGGGATTAATTACAGAAGAAACAAAAGAGGGGCATTTTAAGTACACAAGAGAGAGAATATGGATTAAATGATACCCAATGAAAACGTTCGATCTAAATTTCTATTGGATGATGCCTATATTCAGCGCTAAGCCCTCCACAATTGCGTAAGTATACTTTAGGTGAGATTTCTGCTCGTCAGCAGAAAGATTTATGAAGGTAAACATAAACAACGACAACAGGACCCCCCGAATTCAGTATATTCATGCAGCGCCCCCCGAGAAAAAAATTCTGGCGCCGCCCCTGGCCGTGCGGTCGTGTATCACTACTGCGTGATGCACGTTAAAGACCCCAGGCTAGCGGCTGTACCGCACTGGCTAAATTTCTCACCTACAGCTGGGAGACTCGTCGCCCCTCTGAGGCAGACCAAGTTCTAGGCTGTTTAAACACACACTCAACCCAATTTTTGTATAATGGGGAGTTTTCGTAGACCGCGCTGCCCCCTCCGCTAAGCGTCCCGCAACGAAGAAGTTGCTACGGCGCCTGCGCGCCGATGGCCTTGACTGTGGAGTTCCCGCTATCATAACGGGTTGCGGAGGGCCTTGCGGGACGGCGAAAACGATCTACGACAGCTCACTATTATTATCCACGTTCTCGCGCTATGAGCCTTACGCAGTGTTGTAGGCGGTACCGAAAAAAAAAAAAAAGTGACGAAATATGTTACTCGTTACTTGCAGAGAATAACGTGCTACCGACCTACGTTACCTCAAAATAAAAGGAACGCGTTATCGATACCGTTACCGATAAAAAGTAACCCACGATATTTTATGTTACCTCTTATTTATTTAACGGTAACATCGTTTTTTTTTTTTTTTTGACGCCAGCGATTTTAATTTGGGGACAAAGGGCGTGGGCGTTAGTTTTTCTGAAGTGGGACGTTTTGCGCGGGGAAAAGTCAAGACATTATTTAAGTATGTGGAGTGAGTGCAATAAGGAATGACTTGGCTTCTATACGCAGCCGGTGCTAATGGGACCGATCAAGCAGGTTCAAAAGTGCAAGTCACTGGACTTTTTCGGTTTGATTGGTTCAGCGACGATAGAACACGTACAGAAACGTGACGAACACCGTGATGTTGCCTGTTTGACGCTCTACGATTGGTCTCATCAACCCGTAGCGTAGGCCGCGTGTAAGCTGAAAGTAAAACGAAGTTTAAAAAAAAGAAAGTTAAGTGTTCTTTTTTTTAGGTTTTGGATAGATGTAACGACTAACGTAACTGCGTTAACCGTTACTTAAAAGAAGTAACGGATGGGCGTTACCCGTTGCTATTTTGGAAAAGTATAACGAGGACCTTACTACGTTACTAAAAAGTTACGCGTTACCGGTAACACCATTACTTGTAAGGCGTTATCTCCCACTCTGGCCTTGCACCTGCTGCATGAGTGGCAACATTAATGCAGTTTCGCGCTTCCTACGCGCTCAGTATTTCTCAAATGTACTGATCTAGTAGGCTATGATTTCCAGCCAGCTTCTGATTGAAACCGTATGTTGATTTGTTTCTTTATTTAAGAGGTAATCGACAAGTTTGAGGTAATTATTTCACTTATCGTTACAATTAGCGCCCTATAAAATGTCCCCTTGGTCGTATAAGTCACCTGCGCAGACCGTATTAGTGTACCTCTTACGACATTTGTTTTTCTTTTAGATATGTTCTAATGAAAGTCATACACTTTTTGTTCCCCGTGAGACGTTTGCTTACATTGCCACGTATAAGAGCAATAGCTTGTTGTCATAAACTAATGCAATTACTTCTTTTTTTTTTATATAAAGTTATGTATTTCCGTCATTGCACGAACATTTTGTTTTGCGGAAAATTGAACAGTTGGTGGTGTTCTGTAAGGAAAAATAAACTAAATCAGCCACTTGCTGATGCATGGTCATGGTACTCAGAGTTGTTATCTGTGTTAAAAATATAAGCTACATTTTGTTTATAAAATGGTTTGTATTTGCTAGCTTGGTATCTCTTGAATTACTTCCGTTTTACGGTTTGGCAATTTTCTGTTGCATCATCAGGCAACACCTTGTTTCCGTCCACAAATAATTAGATCTTTGGTTATTTAGACAAGTTGCACACTGCACAACACACCTGGTAATGGTGTAATGTTTTTATTCTATTTTTTATGAAATGTTTCATTGCGAAAAATCATAAAAGCCAACAATGTAAAAGTAAGCAGCAACATTTTTTTTCTTTTTCCTGGTTTGCAATTTTTGCTTTCTATGCGCTGCCTTGGAAGAATGGGCTCAGTCACCATGAATTAGATAAAGGTTTCGTGTTTCCCTAAATATTGAGAAACCTCGTAAAGCAGCCCAATTTATAAAATCGGGCAAAACCGAAAAAAAAAGATGAACGACGTTTACATTTCCGTGTTATGCCGAATTAGAGCGCAGCTCTTGAGGAGGAGAGGAAGGTACTGAGAGGAGGATGTGCCCCTCCTCCTCCTGCCCCCTCCCTGTCCTTCTCCTCTAGTTTTTCTCCCCTTCTTCTCCCTTTTCTCTCTCCCCCTCCCTCCTTCCTCCTTCGTGATGTCACTGGTGACCCTAGTGACGTCACATGTGGCGTCGTTATGGGAAACATCCCATGATGCACCGCGAGGTCACGCCGACGGCGACGGCGACGCCGCTGAAGTCGGAAACGGGCGCCTAAGAGCTGCGCTCTAAAACCAAATAGGAGCTCTCCTTGAACAAAAAGGGCCCAAGTTTCACGGAAACAAATCTTTATATACAGCTTTATTTTGTAGTTACCCGGGGCCGGTACTGCCTGCTGTTTTCACCAAATGAAGCACTTATAAACACAATTTTCTCTTCCGACAGCAAATATTGGCACCGGAAAACACCGAATCTAAAAAAAAATAATAAAATAAATAAACCCCGAAAAATCATTTCCCGATTTGTAATTAAAAAAAAAAATGCAACTCCGAAAACATTGAACTCTTAATATAATATCAGCGAAAACAACGAGGGTACTAGCTGGCTGGTGCAGGTTAAACACGATGAATTTACTCGGGGCTGGGGCGTTTTGAAGGACAACACGAACACAAAGCTCGAATATAGCTGTTTGAGACTTCTCTTTCCTTGTGCTGACTTTTTAGGAAACACTGGTTTAGGGTAAATTCGCCATGATTTATATGGGAAAATTACCAAAACGAACCCATGAACAGTTTTATTAAGAATTTGTTCGCTAATTGACCTTTGTCAAAAGTTGGCGCCTTCTAGTAACCGCTGCACTAATTATGAATCTACCATTGTTTGGACACGTACTGTGAGCATGTAGTGGACACGAGTTCTGCGTTAGCGTTCGTGTAGGACTCAAATCTAATCACACGCTTGTGCCCAAGGAATGGCGACCGCCAATGTTGCTTGATTGACTTTTGAAAAGGGTATATTCCAGTGGTGTATATACCACTGGAATCGTGCTCATATAGGAACAAAATATAAAGGTCAGAATAACTAACATGGGGGACGATGACAAACAGGAACAACGAAATAACAGTGAGAGCGCAGGCGAATTGGTGTAGTTTTACCATTTCATTAAATTACCCGAGACTGGGGCGAGAAAGCTATGAAGTATCAAAACGTATTCCTAGCACTTCGTCTTTCGTTTCCACGTTATGATGCTTTATAGTTTCCTCGCCCCAGTCTCGGGTAATTTAAAGAAACAGCAAGAACACTCATAATGGAATTGAAGGTGGGTTCTCACTGTCCTCAAAGTGCTGTGATACCAAATGAGTTGCGAGTGACATAACAGAGGATTCTGGGCCGGCTTGCTAGAGCAGCATCTCAGCTGAGACTGGGTCAAAGAAAGCACTGCAAAGGCTGGGGCCTACGGGCATCCTGAGACGCAGTTTGAGTTTCGCTCAGCTCGAGTGTTGGCTTTGGCAGTGCTTTCTTTCCCCCATTCTCAGCTAAGGCGCTGTCCTAGCAAGGCGGTCCTGGAATCGGGGCTGATGGCGACCGGACGATCCGTCTATTTAACGGCGATCATGGTGGGATGGTAGGCTTCGTGGTTGACGGCCATCGAGTCTGGCTCGTCTGCGGTGTCCTTGGTCTCGGGGTGCTGGGACTGGATGCCGTTCCGCACACCCTGGAACAAAAAGAGCAGGTTGTATTGTTTTGGAAAGAAGCCCTGACAGCACACGTGGTTCTGCAGATGGCTTCTAGATAGGCTGATACCCCATTCACACGGTCAGCATAAATGTACCTATAACATAGGTCCCTTTGCTATCGACGAATCAGCCAGTGCTCGTGGGTTGCGAGCACTCGCCACGCGCGGAAGATCGTTAATTGATTGGGCGCAGAGAATAAAGGTCCCTTAGCTAAAAGGACCTTTATAATCGTGTGAATTGGGTATAACGTTGCATGGGCGTCCTATGGACCTCCGCTGGAAATCTGTGTTCTTTGGGAAACCACTGATTTATCTTCATCGAAGGAAACATGCACACGACGTTACATTCATTGGTAAAAAAGGATGTTCTGGTCCAACGTCACATATGTTGCCCAGAAGACGTACTCACGCTACGATACCTATGTTGACCAGAAGCATGCACCAAAACAACGTCGCCTGTGTTGGCAGTAGTATCTTAAGATTTGCCCTTTTTAAGACTAATGGACGATGTTGGAGGTGTTTGGGAGTTTTAGAATAGCGCACGCTAAAGCTTTGCGTACGCACAGAATAGCGTCGCCGCCACTGCGCATGCTCCGAACGCAAACCAGGCTTTGCGCTCTGCGTGCGCAATTTTAGCGTGCGCTATTTCTCGGAAATAGCGTGCGTACGCAACGAGTCTTTGCGCTTTTCCAATGAGTATTCGTGATGAGAAGTTGGCTAAAGCCAAGAGGAGCAGAGTTAAAAAAAATGGCGGCTTCCAGGATTATGTCGGCAGCTGTTTTGGCGGCGTCGTAAGTGCGACGTTGGGGGCATCCTCGCGACTGTGATTTTCAATACGGGACGACATTGTACTCGGTTTGGCAACGATCATCGGCAACATGATACTTGCGATGCGCGAACACTTCTCGGCGAAGGTACGATGTGCGGAGGTTGGTACAGGAGACCTCTCTCGCCGAGGCGACGCAAGTGGACACGACCGGTCAACCGCTCGCGTCGCATTCTCATGTTTAAACAAATCTAAAGTGGTACTCCGAACCAAAAATCTTGTTTTTTTCTAAAGTTACAGCATTTCGTGCGTGAAATAAAAATTGTGACTGTATCTTGGTGGCGTCGCAAGCGCGAGCTGCTTGGACGTTTGCGTCGCGGCGGAGAAACGCTATTCTAAAACTCTCTTGCGTCGCGTGCGCTAATACAAACGCTAAATTTAGCGCTAGCGTGCGCTGAAGATTGCGTACTTTATTTTAAAACTCCCTATTAACGCGATAGAGTTCAGGAGCTCGTGTCGCAAAAAAGCCGGCCTCAGTGTCGTGTCAGAAAGCCGGCGTCGATGGCGTTATGCGAAAATCCTGATTGGTCGATAGGTTATGACGTCATAGCCACCAAACCTCACTCGGTAATTTCGGACGACCCACAACGCTCACGTGAAACGCTACGTTACGCGTGGAATGAAAGTGATGCAAAAACATATACTGTAACGCGAATTATAGGTCGTTGCGTGTCTAAAATGATTTCACTTTATAAAGTAATTCATTTGCCTTAAAGAAAAAAAATGAAGAAGTTTAAGTGGGATCCCATTGGTTACGAGCAAGACACACTAATGACTAGGCCATGTCCTCCGCAGTTCCTGCTCACTAGCAGAAGGAGCATAAGACGCGAATGAGGAGGCCAAGCGAGTCGGGCCCGCTAACACTATCGCGTTCCACTCGAAGCTTAAGTGTCCTCTAAGTTTTGCAAGGTTCTAGCCTGGGCTGGTCATGGACGACCATTGTATCGGCGAGCGGTCGTGCAAACACTGCTAGGTGATGTACGTTAAGTATTTCAGTCATTATTTGCTAGATATATTACTCTTGTGCATTGAACTAGCATAGTCAAATGTCGAATCTCAAGGGCAGATTGGCCTCTTGCACAAACATTCACAACATTTAATTTTTTTTTTTTGTGACCAAGTTGTTCAGATGTCGGAAATGAACGAATGACTTCTGTGAATATTCGAATTTGTGAACTCTCCTCACGGTCACAAATTTAAAGTAAGAGACACAAACATGGCACTTGGTTTATAAATATCCAATGAATGATTTTTTTTTTTGGATGATAAGCGAGCAGACCAATTTTGATGTATTGCCGGTTTTACAAAATATGTTCTTTTGTCCTTTATCAACGTGAACTTTGACGACTGTTCACCCCAAGGCGTGAACAGTCGTGGACAAACCCAACAAAGCCGCAGGAGCATGAAGACCTGCCTTACAAGTGCGAGTCATGCCAGTGACGTGAGGAACTATCCACTTCCACCAATTACCGGTAGGTTGTGATATTAGCGGCTATCAACATCGGACTATTCGCCTTTAAATGAAATTGAGCAGGGAGGCAAGCTGGAATATATTTCCATAGCTAAACCTATTAAAAAAAAAAAAAAAAAGGAAAGGCAGAAAACGAAACGCAAGAAGGACACACAGACACAAGGTTCCTCTCAGAGAAGGTTTACGCGTGTGTTGGTCTCCTTTTTACGTATTTTTCTTAGGTCTCAGGTATAGTTATGTTAGCCATTTGACTGCAGTAGTTGGCAGCGCTATGCTCAGGTATGCTGCTGATAGCCGGATGCTGATGCCGTGTAATCTCGCAACTGGCCGACGCTCGGTGGATGTGGTTCCTCTCGTCGCCGTCGAACACATGCACGGAGCCCACGGTCGCACGCTCATTCGTTGGTTTCGTGTACGATAGAGCCTTGAGGGACGTTTACTAAAGCCTAACAGCTCGTCCCATCGGATATAACCGCTATGCAGCCCTCAGGTTTGGCCAGCGCCTCTGGCGAGCAACATAGACTATTCCTAGGTCGTGTTTCTGTTGCGCGTCATTAGGATTTTCCATGTTGCTCGCAGACGCTAAGAGGGCAAAATTTTGTTAAAATTTAAAAATTGAAGAAAAAGCCACAAAAGACGTATTATTTTGATAGAACAGCGCGAGCTGCTTTTTTATTTTGTTTATTAAAGCTTGTTTTGTTCGTTCCGAAGTTATGTTATCGTGGGAAAACAGATGTTGTAGCACGTTTGTAAACGACCTTGACTCGTGCCAAATATAACGCTGCAGTCGCGCCAGCGCCGATTTATGCTCAATGCAAGCATTACCTTGTCGCGTCTTACGAGCCCGCTCGTTCCCCCGGCCGAGAAAAACACGCCGTTATTGAAGCAGCCCTTATTCCATACCAGTACATGGCTTGCATTGACGTCACGTCAGCTGCCTCTCGTGGTGGCCTTGCTGCTCAGCGCGTACTTTTAGCAGCATACATTACGCACCACCAATTTTGTTTTGTTTTTTGTCGGACAAGAACCAGCAAAGGACGGCTCCCACGCTGGCGAGTGCTTACGACCGAGTGCATTACGACCTCTCGTGATATCTTATAACAAGACACTGGCGCTAACACAGGCGCGTTGGCACCATTTGTGAAGTGGCCATGGAGCCTCATTTAAATAAAGCGAATATTTTGCAGTGTTTGTGATATCAAATGCACACACTATTTATGAATTTTCTTGAGCCAATATTGAAATACTGACGTGCGAAAAAACAGAAAATATCCGAAAATCGCGAGCTTTTCACGCTTACCCGATAGATGGCGCCAGTGTGTCATCTCCTCGTAAGTTGTCACAACAGGTCATAGCGCACCGCGTCGTAAACAGTGCGGGATCGAGCCTTAAGAATGAGCACCAAGAAGCCGCAATGAGATTACACGCCAGTCAAGGACGCAAAAATCCCGGTGCATAAAAAATTCCAGAAAAACTGCAAATGGTCCATGAGCATGCGTATGGGGTTTTTCTCGCTTTCGGACGTCACCAACACTCGCCTGTTGGGCTGTGTTGATTGCACAGGGCTGTGGCTTTGCAAGCACGGTAAAGGTGTGGCTACCTGAATGTTCTTCCTGACGTTGTCAACGATGGCGGCCGTGCCCTTGCGCACGCCCGTGGCGACTCCCTGGATGCCTCCCCGGATTCCCGTGCCCACGGTCACGGTGGCGTTCTGCAGGTTCTCGCCGATGCCTACCATGACCCCGAGCAGGCTGGTGTTGCTCAGCACGCGGTTGCACATCCGCTGGCAGCGACGGAAGTTGGCCAACAGCTCCGAGTCCGTGGCGCCCCCTGCGGTGTAGGCCTTTATCCTCTCGCAACCGGAGCCTAGCTTAGAGTCTTTTCTAGTTGCTGACAGCGTGAGAACGTCAGGGCGTGTCTTTCGAGCACCGAGCCTCCGGTGCGCGCTTCGTGCCTTCCGCCGTGCTTCGGCTGCGCGCTCGAGGTGCCCGACACGCCGAAGCGTCGTCGAAGGTAGGAAGCTCGCGCAGGAGGTGGCACAACCGAAGCCCCTCTCATCTCGGCTCGTTGTCTGCTTCGTGAACTGGGCAGACATCCGGATGGCGTGCACACATGGGCGAAAATCGCCCCATCTCGGCGGTATTAGGCACAAATGTGCAAATTTAAATGTGTAAGTTTAATTAAAATGTTGTACCAGATAAAGAGACTAACCGGGCACAATGTTCCTGTCACCTGCGGCGCAAATAAAAATGAAAAGAGAATACAAACCTGTAAGCTAGGAATTGGCGACACTCAGACTGCGAGGCAGTTTCGATAGTATTCGACCTGAGACTTACGACGCAGCTCACTGTGAATACGACGGTTTAAAATTTGAGTAAACACTTCATTTTATGAATGCTTTACGACGCAATTGTTGATGTAAGCACGAAAGCAGCAGGCCACTGCAAAATTGAGTGATCGTATCGTCTCTGTGTAATCGTTTAATCTCCTGTCTTTGTGTCATCGTTTAATGCCAAGCTGTTTCCCCACCATCATCGCAGCTTTCTGTGTGTGTATTGTCCTCTCTCTGTGTAAGCGTTTAATGTTCAAGCTGTTTCACCACTATCATTGACCATGTACCAACTAGCTCAGCTCAAACCGATAACTGCTTCGTAGCTTGGGCGCAAATATGAATGTGTGCGCACTGCCGCTCCGTGTATGCGCGGCGTGGGTTTCTCTGCTTGCTAGGAGGGAGCTCTTTATTTCCAGTGGAGCGCTCTATCAACTAAGCTAACCAGGAGTTAGACGTCAGTGGAGCAGACCGATCTTAAAGCGGCCACCAGTCTGAAGCCTGGTTCAGGCAGTTGCGTTTGACTGCGTCTGACTGCGTTGCGCTGCGAGAAGCCAGGGCATCCCTGTTGCTTATATCGCGGGCGAAGATGATGCCTTGAATTGAATTCTACGCTTCATACGAAGCACAGATGTGCCGGTGACTCGCTTTCGTTTCTCGACGCAACGCAGTCAGACGCACTCAAACGCAAGTGTCTGAACCGGCCTTAACAACAACAAGCTCCTGTCCGCTCCGGCTCGCTGCACCTTTGTATTAATTGCATTAACATCGTGAACGTGTACTCGTGATGATGACATAAACTGCATTAGGCTCATGTTCCATCAGCTGCCATTGGGATGGCCTTGCTGCTGAACGGGTGCCCTTGACAACATACTTAAAGCACCACCGACTTGTTTCCCTTGGAAAAAAAAAAAAGTAAGAGTGATTATCAGCGTGGTGGCGATGAAATAATGTGCAAGCTGTGTATGCATACCCCATTTAAGCCCCCGCTTATTGCTTTGAGAAGTAGCTTCCTAGCGCAAGCGCTCGCACCGCAGAAGCACGTTTTAATGCCGCGATCTTATGCTATAGACTTCCCTGCCCTGTAAGCTCATATGGGAGTCAATCTGATCCTAAGTCACAATAGCATTAAATGGGGAAACAAAATTGCGAACAAAATACTGTTTTACTGTTTCATCGGTCATAACTTTATAACAAAAGAACGAAAGAAAAAAGTACGACGTTGCTCGGCTATAATTATTGTTAGATACACGTTAGATGCAAAGAAGTGTCTACGCTGGAAATATATGAACTAAAGAAGTGATGCAACCATTTGCAAGGGTAAAGTTTGCTAAACAAAAATAAACGGTATTTGCTTGATTTTACAGCATAATGTTGCAGTTTCTCTCCTCTATAAATTTCTGTGGTTCCAGCCTAGATTTGGTTAATGAATGGCATGGCGCTATTTTATTAGTGAAAACCGAAAACGCTCTGTCAGCAGACAATCTTGTTTCACTTCGGTTCTTGAGGTGACGGAGCACAGCTCCCAATAAAAGCGAGAGCGATTTCGAGGTTTTTTATGTCCGTATAGTGACAAATAAAGAGAATACGCACGGCAGTGTTGCGCCACGAGCAGGAAGACGACAGCGCAGGTCTCCCAGAGCACCATGACGTGTCCACCGGACGGTCCTCGCAGCAATTGTCCCAGGAGAGCAGGACACTCCGTGGCTTTATGGCCCTCACCGCCGCTGACTGATCGAATGACGGAACTGTATCGTCCGCTGTCCAGCCCCACTCTGGACACAGCCCGGAACCGGAAGAGAGGTCCTACACTAGGGTCGACGACCTGCTGACAGCGGCGCGGAGGACGTTTCCGCCCGTAACCCCAAACGAACAGAAAGAACAAGTTGCAGCTGGGACAACATGGAACGAATGAGGTACGCATGTATCGTAGTTAATCATTCGTCAGATCTGGACCACCACCATGGTGGAGACGATCGCTGTCGCAATGTTTGCTCCGGGCGAGCGATGCTGGCTCGAAGGAAGGTATTGTTGAGGTTGAGGCGATAGACACTCATTGGAGTATCTTTTTTGACGAATCAGGCCTGATTTGGTTTATATTCTAATTACAGTTGTTGTAGCCATTGATATCGACCAGACTTTCTTGTTTGAACTGAAGTATCTTGAGTGTTCCGGGTGGTATTGAATTTGCACAGGTTGTTCCGGACGATCGTTAGATAAACCAGACGTGTTTGAACAAGTTGAACGACGTGAAATTGCAGTGTTGCATGATATTAACTTTGGCGCGGATCTTTTTTTATCACCTAAGCGTAGAAAAAGCTTTTTTTATAAATTTTATGTTGATGTCTGAAGCCTGAATTTTGTAGGGACGAAAACAGAAATAGAAATATTGAAACCTATCGATACGTCGATGCCGAGAGATGTTCGTATTTAGCAGATCGAATTGAACACTTGCAGAACATTTAGTAATAGTAGTAGTCACATATAATTTTGATAAATAATGTTGTGACTTCATCACTTCTTATCGAATAAACATATGCGCTATTTAAATACTCTCTCATAATAAACAACTAGCAGAAGCAACTAGACTAGTTACTTCTGGGGGGTCTCCTCAATCACTTTTTTCCCGTCACAAGGATTAAAGCGCGAAGACTACGGCCCTCTTAAGAAGCACGACAGCTAGTTGTCCCTAAGAGTGTTTCAATCGGGAAGTGGCAAGTCAACAATAGTGTTTATTCAGGAATGTGCCATATGGCGCGACGCGGCTGATCAAAGGCACATTTCTCACGTAATCTGTTAAAAACACGACATGACAAGTTCCATGCAACCTGCGCGTAAGTTTCATGAAACACGTTCTTTTGTTCTGTAAATTAAAATTAACAGTTTAAACGATAGATGCGATGCACTCGATAAACGCTCTGGTAGTTGGGTGTGCCGTGTGGATGGCCATTAAAGCTGGTATCTGGAAGCACGGCTTTGACGATCCCATGGACGAGTGCGGTGTCGCTCGCAGTGTCGCGGAGGAATCTTCGCTGTTCGAGTCACCACCTCTTTCGGTAGTCTCTCGCGGAAATAATTTACCTGTTGCAAGTAGCCAGTTGCATCGGAAGAGTTAGTTGTCTTCGGTAACAACCCTATGCGATCTTGGCGCGACTGATCTCAGGGCACGAGCTTTGCTAGTCCGTGCTATGTTTTTGTCTCTGCCCCACGACTTCCCTGTTCATGGGCTCAGGTAGCCTCCTCCCTTAAAGCTCAGCCACAGCGCTCCTGAATCTTTCAAAAGACATGACTGCAGAGACGATGACAGAAGTATCTGCGGACAGGCCTGACGAATGTTCGAAGCATGTTTTCTTCATACGTATGTAACATCTCAGCAGACAGTGTTTGTGTTAGGATCGTCATACAAGTAATAAACACGCTTCAGACGGCGTCTGCGTACTTTCTTGTGCTTTATGTATGAGCTGTGCGACCGTGGCTTTAAGTATCGATCTGCTCGCGTTCAGAAAAATGCTGTGCTGATGGCTGAATCTTATTAAGATTGAGGATTGGACGAGTTCGTGATTTGTTACAGAAAGCAAGAACGGAAAACAAGAATAGACATAAAAGGACAGAAAGAGACAAATCGGGAGAATTGTCAGGGACGCGGGCTGCATGACAGCAGCTGAGGGTATGCGAAACATGGACGGCAGGAAATGTGAGATTCTCGGCGCTCAATCCCTAGGCAACAGCGGTACGGCTTTAGTCACCTCTAAAGGCAACAATCTGCCTTATCGAAAAGGGCTACTATCGTTTACGTGGGTGGGCGTGCATCCCTTCAGAGCTAGGATCTTAGTGCGTGACACTCGTCACATGCTGGGATACCGCGTGGACGAGTGTCCCTGTTATACGGCCCCGCTGTACCCCTCTTGCGGATCTCGACCGCGCTATCGAACGATGCTCCCTGCCTCAGCAGCACGCCAATGTGTGTGAAACTCCGGCTGACACCCTCTCACCAGAGCTAAAACCTCAAAAGAGTGCAACTGCATCGGCAGTTAACACATAAGACGTTGTTCAAAGAAACGACTGCACCGCCCCCATTCCGGCGACCCACACGACACCAAACAAAACCTCACTGCCTTTCCGCGCCTGACTGCGTCAGCAACCTAATGCCATTGCAATCCACCGCAGCTTTCACACCGGCTCCAGGACACCTCCAGGCGTCACCGTTGATCACCGCAGTAGCAAACGCAGCTTCGCTAACGACGTGGCGGAGATAACCGTGCAGACATCGCACCTATCGACTGTCACAAATCGATCACAGGTGACTCAGACTTCAGCTCTCCAACCCACGCACCAGGCTCCGCAGCAGCACCGCGGCATACACCGTCTGCCGTGCTTGAAACGACGCAGCGACGCCCTACGTCAAGCAAATTCAGCGCGTCGTGCAGCTGGAGCTCAGCATCCTGGAAAAAGTTCAGCAAGCCATAGAAAGTCCCATGCGCGTCACGACCGTGACGGAAAAACTTCTTCCACCACAGACCGCGGTGCATAATCCTGCTGCCTCCACCCCCCTCCTGCGCTTAGGGCACCCTCCCCCTCGCGGGGCATCCTCCATTTCCTTCCTTTAAAATCACCTACCCACTGTCGGAAACTAATCCATGGGCGCACGACCTACACTACGTGATCCAGTGGAACTGCCGTACGCCGCACAAGAAGGACGACGTCGTAGCACGGCTTCAACTAGAACACGTTCACGACGAACCCACCATACTCGCCCTACAAGAGTTTAAAGGACCGCTACTGTGATTACAGGGGTACGACGGTTATTCGTCACATGCGGATCCAGCAGAACCCGTCAAGATGGCTCTATACGTAAAAAAAGAAACCACCACGCACGTTCGAATCGACGCTAAACCTTGGGGTACAACCATTACTAGCGTCGCAGGGTGCAATGTTTAGCTCACGCCACAGCAAGACATCCTCGCCTTCTCAGTCTACATCGTGTCAGAAAATACCCGAAAATAAACGCATGACTGACATCGATCTACATGAGCTTCGTTCATTATTTTCGGTAGCAGTTCCCACAAGATCTAGTCATATTATGCGGTAACATAACTCCAAGCACGTGTCATGCAACTGCAGCAGGTGCAGTGCTCAGAGAAAACGGACAATGGAGGACTTTAACAATGGTGACCTTACCCTGCTCAACAAGCTCCATATCTATACACGCTTGGGCCAAACATGGCGCCAGGTTTACACAACACCCGATTTCAATTGGGCAACCCTATTCAAACTGTACACGTGGCCTGTGCTGAAGGATTGTTTGGAAAGCGACCACTTTCCCACTTGCATGCGCGTTCGACATGGCTCTAAACCACCGCGGCACAACGATCCGAGAATCCGATTCAGCCACGTTACACACTGGGATAAATATCGGCTCATGCTCGGTCAGCATCCTCCGGAAACGAGCATCGGACAGCTAATTCCTCAACTACTCGAGGTCAAGACAGCGATCTCGAAGCGACCTCCTGAAGCTGTGGAACCGCAAGCTTCGCCTCCCAGCTGCATACAGGAGGCAACGCAGACCTCGGCGCCTCAAGAAGCGCTTACGCAAGATTCGAAACGCAATTGAGCATTACACGTTTGTTTTGGCCACCGAGCAATAAATACAAAGAACAGTGAACAAAAATACAAAAACAACAACGAACACATCTACTTGTTGATCATGCAATTAATGCAAAAGAGCAAGTGAGCTGCACGGTCTGTCGCGCACTAGTCACCTAGCTGTGTCTCAAGATATGTGTTTGTCACCGTTCTTCCTCTACTGCAGGGATCAATATCGTCATCCTCGTCCAGCTCGCCAACTCCTTTGCATTAATCGCATGATCATCATAACCTTATTATATAGGCCTTCACCCTTGTTGGTGTCAGACTGGTGGCAACTGATAAAACCTGTTTACTCTACTGACACCTAACTCCTGGTTAGCTAAATTGGTAGCAATAGAGAAGTCCGTGGTTCGATACCAGGATCAAGCGGATTTCTTTTTTGGTCGCGCACCAGTCACTTAGTTGTGTTTGGCCATTTGTGTTTGACCTTTTCCCCCCTTCTTCCCCTTCTTCAGGGATTAATACCGTGAAAACATCTCTCCCAGATGTTGGGCATTCTATGTTTACTTCTGGGTCAACGTAAGTCGACCGATGGAGCCGCTCAGTAGATCTTAGGGAAGGCGTTAGTGCGGCCCAACTTGCCGGGAAGGCAGCCGATGTCTTCTTCCCTTAAACCTCAACACCCACCCTGTGCACGGACGCCAGGGTCGACGCAGGGAACGACAACGTAGCAATCAACAGCCTACACATCCCTTGTAAGGCCGCTACTAGGGTACGGTGATGTTGTCTGGGACCCCCACACAAAACCCGATACCGAATGCATCGAACGCGTACAGAGGAAGGCGCTTCGATTCATTTATCACGCCTATGGTAGGAACGTCTCGGTGACTGAGCTTCTGAATCGTTCTACATTAAAATCCCGCCGCAAGCTTCATTGACTAAAGCTCCTTTTTAACATAGTCAATAACCAGACGGGACTGAATTTTCCCGACAGCATGCACTTTAACACAGCGCGACCCGCGCGCAATAAACACATAAAACATCAATACCGAGGCCTTAATG